TAACTCTGTGAGGGGAATAACTTTCAGCACCCTTTCCAAACTACAGAGGCCAGGATTCTTTGGGTGAAGCCATGACTGTTTAAAGTGGTATGATACTGCTTCAATTGTAAGTTGTGGCCAGAGAGAGCGAGAGCAAAAGCCAAGTCCTTAGTTGTGGCTTCCCAACTCTGGAGCACTCTCCCCTAGAGACTTCCTGACACTGTTGTCTTCACTCTTTTTTATTTGCCCAGGCTTTGAAGCTGCAATGGAAGCTTTTTATTAGCTTTTCCTTATTTATTCTTTCACTGACTACATCCTATCTGTTGCTTTCCTTGTTGTTTGTGCCCCCCCCCAATATATATATATATTTCTTTCATGGCTAGATGCCCAGGGAGCAAGCTTTTCTAAAAGTTTACAGGGCACAGATCTCCTCCTCTTAAGTGGAAATATTTATTATTATTATTAAAAAGAGCACTACTGTTTTATTAGCTGGACAATCTAAAACATGCTATGCCTGAGCTCCAAGTGTGAACACTTTTGCAAAGAAAAAAGAAAAGCTGAGGACTAAGTCCTCTTCTTGATGACTCAGAAGAAGCAAGATCAGATATGGCAGTGTGTTAAAAAGGGAGTCATCTAGGTCATTCCATTATTGGCGGAACCACAGCCAATTGGGACTGCCCAATCAGAAAAGGCTTGCCGCATCAAAGCTATGGAACAATTCGCACTGTAGGAGTTTGAGCACTAAAGTTACAGGTTATCTGTCTAAGCAATAATGAATGGGAAGGGAGGGACGGAGGGTGTTTCTAGACAGCTAATGACTAGATGAAGGAGTATGGCTAACCCTGCCTGTTGTCAGCTGGCAGGAAACACACAACCCAGATGTCACTATGGCAATTAAATAAATCATGGGAATCCTGAAAAAAAAAAATATAAAAAAGGATAATAATCACTTGTTTGTGTGTTAAACAGGGAGCTATATCTCTCAAGGAGGTTGAGAGATTGCATTAGCACGCCAGATTTCTTCTTATTCTCAACAAATTAGCAGTTAAGTCCTTTTCAGAAAATGGGTCAAGGTTAGCTCAGGATCACCATAAACTTTGCTGTTCAGTGCAATGTTCACAGGATATCATGGGTTTTAGGCAACAGTAATGGTGGCAGTGATAGAGGAAGAGGGGGGAAATAGGGTTGCCATACATCCAGAATTTCCTGGACATAGCTGGTATTCAGCCCTTGTAAACAGCACCAGGGAGGAAAGCGCTGAAATGTCCAGGAAAATCTAGACGTATGGCAGCCCATATTGGAAGTGTAGATTTTGGCAAATTTCATTATAAATAGCTCCAAAAGTCTTCTTTTGAGATTTTGCAAAAAAAAAGCTCAACACCCCTAGATGACGCCCAAGTATGTGCATATTTGTAATTATTCTGCTGGACAGTGAATGTGTATATTTATTGCAAGTGTTCAAGGTGGGGGTGGGGGGCAGAGATGAAATGGGCAAAAAAGTGTGTCTCTCTTTGCAATGGCGAAGTGGCCAGCTGGGAGTATCCCTCATGGGAGGGATAAACCAACTTCAGTAAACTTTGCCGGCTGCCCGAGTCTTATGTGCTAATCCAGCATTATGTACAGCCATTACCTTCCTGTTTCTCTAGGTCAGGGATGGTGAGTCTGTGGTCCTCCAGATGTTGCTGGTCTACAACTTCCACCATCCCTGACCATTGATCATGCTGGCTGGGGCTGTTGGAGACCAACAACCACTGGTTGGGCACAGGTTCCCCACTCCTGCTCTTAAAGAAAAGGAACAGACAGAAATACTCATAGACCCTCATGCTGCCTTTAGAAATAAGGCTCTGTACAATACATTCCAGTCATGGGCTGTTGCAGGGGGAATAGCCCGTTCCCTAAGAATACACAGTGTAAAATTAGGGAGCTGGGACATTCCCAACTTTGCTGTGTTTTATCCGCTTGTGTTGAAAAGCAAAAGCCACATACCATCTTCAAATGTTGTTGTGTCAGACAAAGAGCTGCTCTCAGAAGGGATGATTTCATCTAGGGGGGAAAGAAAAGAAAAAGGCTTAAAAAAAGACAAATGTTGCAATCTGGAATATTAAACACAGGGCACAGTCATTGGGTTCACTCACTCAGGTTTGTGTGTATTTACAGGTTCTGATATAACGATCAACCAAATTAGCAATGGGAGTACTAAGAACAAACACATAAATACAGCCCCACAACTGAAAAACAACCAGGAAAAAATAGAATCCAGAACTGCCTTTTGATAGCAGGTGTGTTGGTTACTTCAGAAAAATCAGCATCTCTAGCGTAGTCAGAGAATCTAACTAGTCTCAGATTCTGTGAAGAATAATGCCAAACAAATCAGCTGTTGGCAATTTTTAAATTTCTTCTCTATATTACAATAGCGTCCATTGATGCTGGGCCACACCGCATAACATTTGCTGCACTCTGCACAAATGTTCACCACTATGAAATGCACAGGAGTCATACCAGAGCCTTTTACCATCACCCAGGATGCGCCAGCAGACAGCCCAGCACAAGCAAGACCAACAAAACTTTGGCTATGGCTGCCAAATTTGATCTATCCACAACTGTGTTTTCTGTTGAGCAGCTCCAGAAAGACACAGCTGCAACAGATTCATTGCTGAACCAGAAAGCTAAATCGGCAAACTTTCCAAAAGAACTATTCACCTCTTTTTACACTGGCAGATTTCAGAAGGATGAGGTGGCAACCAGCAGCCACACAAGCTGCTTGCAGAGTGTTTGGAAGAGCACTTGGCAGAAACTGATGGAGAACATTGCTGATCTCTTACAAGGCTAGCTAGTCATTGCCCACAATGAGAAAAGACAGGCAATGAACTTGAGAAATGGCAGACACTACCTGCTGTAGGCCAAGTTTTTTCTTTGTCTAGGAAACAGCATGTTAAATAATAATGGTAAACAGAAATTAATAAAATAATTGCAAATCAGAACTTAATAATAAAAAACAGGATATTTTTCGACATGTTAAGGCAGCCACGAGTGTCCCAAATTCTGCAATCCTTTTCTTTTGACACTCAAAATCAATCCTCTGGTTCCTCATGACTGTAAACAAGTGCTGAAATACAACCAGGCTTGCTTACTCTGTCTTCTTTCTTCTATACACAAAGCTCTTTCTCTCTCCTCTCTCTCTATTATGTGTATTTTGTCCCCTTTAGCTTTTTGCCTTGATGCATCATTCTGTTCCCGTGTCTTTGTTCAAAGCAGTCCTCAAAAAAAACTTTCATCACCCTCACTTTGTTCTTTGAAGTAGAGAAGAATATTTTGTGATACCCAAGATCCCAATTCTAAGAGACATCTTATTTTCTTACAAACAACACTTCTAAGATAAGGGTATATATTCTAAATTCATCCTCTCTCACGTGTAAACACTGGGGGTTGCAATGGCAGCACCCAACCCATTCTAAACTAGCCTAGAAGGAACTTCCTGTCTTGCTACTTACACCATTTTATTGAATCATAGGACTCTTAAGTGCAAAGGCAAGCATCAGGATAATCTATAGTAATGGATGCCAATTATTACTCTTTGTGTCATTATCATATCCCTTGATATTTCCCCCTTTACCCTGATGATAACAACACTGTGATTTTTGCATTCCTGAACATTTTGCAAGGAATTGTTTTTCAGTGATCTCATGTTTAAACAATGGAGGTTACAACTGCATTGCTTAGGCCACTTTAGCACAGAAGGGAGTTCCTAGTTTGTAATCACCATGTCATATCCTTTTATTAGTGTTTCCCCAAACAGAGCATGGTAATGGACATTTCCAAAAGCGTTTTTTCTTCTTCTCCATCTCTCCCCTTGCCACAATCCTATGTGACATTACATACAAAGGATGAAGTACAAACTCTTAGCTTTAAAATCAGAGATGAGAGGATGCCAAAAGCATGCCAGAAACCATACTGATGTCAGATAAGCAAGTTGTGCAGGCCTGCTGGACAAATAACATGGTTCAGTTGCAAGTCAGCGTGAAACTGCTAGTCAACTACAGTGCAGAATACAGAAGGAACTGGCTTTCATTGGCAGGCAACCAACATTGAAACTGACCCATGGCTTGGCCCCCATGCCTATTGTCCAGCTTTTGCTCCCAGCAACTAGCACCTTTTCGGCTTTCCTTGGCTTGATTAAAGAGTCCATTTTGGTATCCAGCCATTTTCTCCCCATGAAGGTGCCATAATCACCATCACCCTAATCCTCTTAATCTTCAATTTGATAAACTGTGCTAAATTGTACTCTTCATGCTCCTGCCTGATCCGGTTTGTTTCCCAATGCCTGAGTCATTTCAGGGAGCTCTCCTCTGTACATTTCAGTGCCATTTCAAAATGCAGGAACCACCTCTGGACCAACCACTCAGGCCCATGTATTTTTCTGCATTCATCCTCCCACATGTCTGCCCAGCACATAGGTGTTGACGGCTAGGTGAAACAAATGGCTCTGCATCAGTTCCCAGGGCAGCCTGGGGTAATATGCCTGAATGGAAGGGGCCATCAGGATGCCATCCATACTCAAACCAGGCCACTTTTGTCTCGTAGATAAAATAGTGCAAGTGTGCCTAAAGCAGCCGTGCCAAATTCCTCTCGCCCCAACCCCATCCTGCTTCAGCAGCCTGCCATGCCCCATCCTATCAAAACAACAACAAACAAACCTATGGTCACGTAAAGCATACTCAATAAACACACGAGACGTAACCGGCTGTGTTCTTAGATAAATAAGGTATACTATTCATGTATCAAATCATAAATTTCAACGGAAGTAACTCATAAAGTTCAACAAACGAACAATCAGAAGACCCAGGGGATCAGATCATTCTCTAGTCAGTTCATGCATAAGGTCCATCCGTGTAATGGTGTCTATTCCACCTGTCTGTTCATAAGGTCCAAACAATCCACATGAAAGGTTGTTACAGTTCCACAGAATCCTTTCACAGAGTCTAAGACAAGGATTTCCAGAATATTGGCCTTGTTTCGCCATCCTGGGCTTCATCAGTAGTTAAAGCTCATGTGTGATATTACAGAACGGCTACTACTATGCCGTAAGATCCACTGTCCTGTAATATCACATATGAGCTGTAACTACTGATGAAGCCCACGATGGCGAAACAAGAGAATGATCTGATCCACTGGGTCTTCTGCTTTGTTCGTTTGTTGAACTTTATGAGTTACTTCCATTGAAATTTATGATTTAATACATGAATAGTATACCTTATTTATCTAAGAACATAACTGGTTACATCTCATATGCCTCATCCTATGCCAGGAGGGTCAAGGGGCTGTAATAGTTTCCGAAGGAGGCAGGAAATCCCCACTGCACAAGAAGCATTCCTCTTGCTTGTCTCTGCAACCAACCCATTACTGTCCTCTGTTGACTTCTTAAAATTTTCAGTTCATTGAAAGGCACACAGGTAATACAATACTGAAGTCACGTTATTATCTACAGGTAATAAAAGATGCCCTGCCAGCTACTCACGGCTACATGAACATACATGCAGTTGTAAAAATGGCTGCTGTGCGTAGAAATGACGGCATGGTGGCACATCAAAGGGAAGCAGCTATAGGGCTAGTTGGAACAACTTGGTTTGGAAACTGAAGAGGCCTAATTTGGACTTCTCAAAAGCCATATTTGGGACTCAGGAGCTTCTTCTTCTTTTTTTAAGAGCCCCTGGGCAGACGATGACTGCTGTGCATCATCTAGCCAGTATTTATTCACCCTGCTGTGCATTATACAACTGGCCCTAGATTGTCCCCTGTTCAGGGGGAGCAGCCTCCTCTAAAATCATCATTCCAGCTCTTAGAAAAAAGCAGTGTTTACAAGCACCTTACAATCCTCTTTCACAATGGGTCTCTTATATAGGCACTGTCTCATTACAACGTTGTTACTTTACAAACTCTTAAAGACAACTGACATATAAAACTATGCACGCTTCATTCTTGCTATCTTGCTGGGAATTCACAACCAGACACCATCTACACACACACCCCTTCCCCTTGCTGCTAACCTACACGTCTTAAGACCTAGCTTTAATTATGTGCTTGATTCATAATGCGCCCAGCATTAGCCAAGAGATCACACAACAATTTCTGCTAAAATCAGCATCCGATACTCAACAGAACAAGGTACCACACTAGTTTCGGCTGGGAGATGCCGCCAGCCCTTCGACATACAGCAATTCGTTGGTTTGCGTTCTCCCTCAAACATGTCAGCGCTTGTGCTGCACTTTGAGACTCTGTTCCCTTTTAACCACATCTTACATAAAACACGGCAGTCAGATTACAGGTAAGCTCCAGACTTTGCTGAACGCAGAGGCTCTAGTTTCTGCTGGGCAGGACTGCATCTTTGCCTGCCCTTGGTATCAAAACCATGTTTTTCTTCCACAAGAGAAAAACACACCCAACAAAAAGTACTTGAAAAACAGATTCTCTCCCCCCCACAACCTCCCCATCCTCATAAGAATGTTGTTAGATCTCTGTTACCTGGTAAGGTCAGGGTTGATTTCTGTGTAGGCTTCTTTCCACACTTAATCCTATACTCATTAATGGAATTTTCAATCTCCTGAAGCTTTTTCACTGCCTCTATGTACTCCTGTTTCCTCTTCTTCTTCACATTTTTGCATAGGTCTGGCTCACTGGAAAGTTTCTTCACGGCTTCCACCATCTTTTGCTGTATGAAAAAGTTGCTCTCCAGATTCTGCAGAGCTGGGTCCTATGGAGCCAAAATAAAGTAAAATAAAATCGGGATTTCCCACTTTGGAACCTGAATTTAAGCCAAGTCTTTGGTCTTTTGAGGTTTGAACAACAACAAAAAATTGACTTCAGGATGTGCAACAAAGAATAGGGAGGGCTTATAGACTCATCTGTATGTAGCACTGGGTGGCCTGATGTGGTAAGCCAGGGTATTTATAAAAGGCCAACATTTCACACCCGTTTTCAGAACATCTGCCAAAAGCTAAACACCAGACTCTCTCCATTGCCAGTAAAGCATTTGCATTGCTATGCTAAGGACAACCTGTTGCCAGGCTTCTCTAAAAAAGGGTTAGCAAGGTGTAAACATCAATATAATGATGCCCATAATGCTGGAGGCTTTATTACTCAGTGTTTGTAAACAATTATGAAGAGACCAGATGAAAGGAGGCACACACATATAAACCCCAAAGCACTCATTATTTACTAGACAATTATGATTCAAAAGCATTCATGTTCATATATACAAACAAGGACCTCGGTTTATGGTATCCTCACATAAGGGAATGGGATCCTACTAACAGAGAGGTGTAAATAACCCATTAGCCACAAAAAAGTAAAAGCCAGCCAGCCTTCAGGGCAAGTTACTGTTTGAAATACAGAAGGATAAGGTGAAAACCAGAATACGTGGCATCTTTCTCTAAAAGAGAAAATCTGCTTCTGGCTTCCACAAGTTCTCCAAACAACACATATTTGTGACTTTGGCAACAGTGTTTCCATATCTTATATAAGAAGCATCAATCTGAGGCAAACAAGACCCAGAGAAGCTAAGCACTTGCCCCAGGCAGCCTTTGCAGCCATCTCGCTATACTATTATTGAGCATGGAACATGGGGGACCTAGTTGCCATTATCCCAGTCCTTCAACATAATCATAAATTGCATCATACATGCAATGAAAAGATTACTTTAGCTCTTTGTCAGACCTGCAAATGATTTGTGTCTCCCCCGCCCAATAAATGCTTGTCAACACAGGATGCACCTACAGACTGTCAGTATACTGTGGGAGGAATTCAAGAGCACACTGGAACTTTAGGCTTGCACATTTAACGTTTGCAAAGCGGTGGGGAAATGCATTGAAAAGTGTGGGAAGAGCGAAATGATTAATGGGAAGACATGTAAACACCTCCATAAGCGAAAACAGGATGAATGCTCATTGTGTCATGTAACTGCCCCGAAAACAAATCAGAATGAATGCTTAGTAAAGTCTACCCACCATGCAAGCTATGTGCAAGCAAATCGAGGATGAATGGTGAACAAACAGGAGGAACCCGTAGCCAGAGTGCCAAATCGCACTCTAGCTATGTCTTTCCCACCCAATCCATCAGTGGTAGGGTAGGATAGCTTTAAGATTCTGTAGGTGAGGGGAGCAAAAGGGAATCCTTCTAAAGGGGGTAAACATTATAGCACAGGTGACACTCAACTGACGCAGGAGTTACGTTTCAGGGATTACACATGAAGTCAAAATCACGTATAGTCAAAACACTTTGAGTTCAATGGATTGCCAAAGTTATTTTTATAACTTTGGATTGCCAAAGTTATTTTTCCAAGGCACCCACCCCCTTTCTTATTTTTTAATATTCTTCTGCCAAGAGCGTAAAGCTGCACAAATTAAACGTGCGCAAGTAGTGAGTTACCTGTATTGTGAAGTGGGGGTAGCTGCGTATGGCAACAGGGTTTGAAACCCCAAATTTGGAGCTTATTTTAGTGCTCCTAGCTTAGGAACTGCTCCCGATTATGCATTACAGGGGACGTTACGTGCATAAAGCAAGCATGCATGGTAAGTGCCAGTCTCTGAGTGTATCCTTAACAGAGTGCCAATTGGGTAAAACAAAAACCCATGCAACTTGCTTGGGCTTGGTTCCACTCTGCAGTCATGTGTGAAGAGGGCTGTATTCCAGCATGCCAATGTCCCTATATCATTTCCTACATTAGCTCCGAGTTGGCACCATAATGGTATCTGGCAGCCAACAGAAATGGTTGCCTTTCAGATCCATGAGGAATATGTGGGAATCAAGGATTTCGCAAAGTAAATGTGAAACAACTTTGAAGGACAGACCAAGAGGTTCAGGTCAGAGCTACAGAAGTAGCAAGTGCAGAATTCGAGCCTCACCCTCCCTTATGGGGCAGGAACCCCCGCCCCCAAGTTATCAACTCCCTAGGAGAGGTGAAGTATGTGCGTTTTCCCAGCTTCCCAGGAGAGGTAAAATGAGTGCAGTTTCTCAACCACAATGTAATTTGGCAGAACAAAATCTATTAAGCACGCCCCTGTGTGTTAAACGCTTTAGTGAAACTACTGGCCGAAATTCCCAGCAATTTAAATATTTAAATCTTTACTGAGGCCAGATAGCTTTTAAAGCCATTGTGCAAGGGCTGAATTCTGCACATAAATAATTAAGTGAGGCTTAATCTTTGTTTCAGAACATGTCTACACAGATTTCCAGCAATCGCCCTATCTGGGATTTCCCTTCACTGACCCAACGCAAACCAAAACCAAGAAGCTGTGAAGCCAATGTAAGACATGGCATCTGGGAGATGGTCCCAATGACACACGTTTTACAGCCTTGTAAAGTAAGTGAAACCTGCAACGGGGCTTGCACATACCTCCTCGCTGGGAAGCAGGTTGCCATCCAATTTGAAGGCTGTGCCTACACGCCTTCTGACCTGAGGTGGTTTCTCTCCTGTGCCCAGGGGGTATTCCTTTGGCATTTTCCCAGTGAGCTCCTATGGAGGGGAAGAAAAGCAGTATTAGGAAAAATGAGTGTGGACATCATAGGAACCTGCCTCATGCACTCAGAGCGCTGGGTTCACCTAGCTCACTACTGATAACCCCGGCTGGCAGCTGTTCTCTGAAGTTTCAGGCAAGAGTTTTTCCTGGCCCTACCTGGGATATACTGGGGGTTGAACCTGGGATCTTCTGCATGCAAAGCAGAAGCCCTGCCCCTGAGCTACAAGCCCTGTCCTGGACCCACGTCAAAGGAAAAGCAAGCAACAGGTCTCACCGCTTCCCGCAGGCAGATTTTCTTCAGTTCGTCAACTTTCTGCAAAAGCTTCTCCTGCAAAAGCTTTTCTTTCTTTTTCAGCTCCAATATTTTCTCTTTCTTTTGCTCTTCGCTGGCCTCTGAATCTTGAGACCCTGTAAGATCCAATGATTTGTAAACTCATTCCTCCTTTTCGACTTAAAGAGTTAGCTGCTGGGTGGGGTGGGGTGGATGGCTAACATCTTACATCTTTTCTTAGTTACAGGTGGCCTTTTCAAAGTTGGACACAACAGAACTAGAGTTAAATTGAAGGGAAAACCTCTGTTGCCAGCCAAGATAGGCAAACATGCATCGAATCTACTTAAAATGGATTACTGTGCCCAAAAAAAGTGCACTTCAATTTGAACTTTTGAACCTTTCAATTAGAATCCTCCTTCCAAGCAGATTTTCCATATTTGTTGCAGGATCTGTGGGTTGCACATAAATCAATAGAATCGCACAGAATTGTAACTGTAGAGTTGGAAGGAATACACCAAGGGTCATCTAGTTCAAACCTCTGCAATGCAGGAATCTCAACATGCGAGTCCCCCATCCAAACTGAAACCACACAGGACTCTGCTTAGCTTTGCAAATGTGCTAGCAGTTTTATTGCTGTACCACTAGGAGGAACTAATCATCAAACAACGCTTTAAATGTGCATACAGGTGACGTCTGGTATGTACATGTTTTATAGAGATTCATGGACAAAGTGGTGCAATCCTGCAAAGCTAGGCTTTTCATTTTGCACTGCAAATCCCAGAATATAGGGCAGCAAGCTGGCTGCTGCACCTAAGGGCAGAGTATGCTGAAGGAGAAGGGGACATACAGGAAGCCTCTGTAGGTCACTTGGGTGGGGCAGGAAGGAGAAGGTACTAACTATACCTGACTGCCCTGATATTGCCCTAGGTAAACCTGTGTTGCAGGAGTGGTGTTGACTACACCAGAAATTTTCAACCTTGGGCCTGCTGATGCTGTTGGACAACAACTCCCAGCATCCCAGCCCAGCTACTTGAGACAATGCTCAGGGATCATGGGAGTTGCTGTAGTTCCAACGATGCCCGGGAACCCAAGATGGAAGAAAGCTGGTCTATACCAAGGCTTCCCCAACTGCAGAATGTGGACAACTAGCAGTCTGCAAGCTTCATTTGGGTGGACTGCAGCACACCTGTGAAGCACACTTCTTACAGTTTGAATTCTGTAGAATTTGAATTGCAGGACAACAAAAGGGGCAGGGGAGAAAACAATCTACCTCCAGTGAGACCTGTTTTAGAGATCATAAGCTCTGTCTCTTGCTTCCCTCACCATAAGTCTGTGCAGAAGGGGGGCTGCTGGGGATGGAAGACGATGACTATTATGACCGCGAAGGAACTAGGTTCCATAGGGCGGCATGTTAACAGCCAGAAATGAATCGTTTTAGGAAACTAGAGTTGTTTTATGCAGTGGGATATAAAAAGGGTGAGAGAAAATTGCCAAATCAGCACAAGCTCATGGAAAAGAAATCCTGACTTCCCTTGTTTCGATTGTGGTGTGTGTGTGTGTGTGTTGTAAAACAGCAGTTGTGGATGCGTGATATAGTAGAATTTCACCCATGTTAAGGAAAGACATATTTTCCTTGTACTACATGCAACTGAGTTACATAATACAGACACCTAGACTCCAAACAGAAGACATTTGAAACAATATGTGTTACCTGAGGAGATTAGGCTACCATTGCTGGCCATAATAAGTTGACTCTTGGCTTCCAAAGTGGCTAATTTTGAAACCTTCGGTGTTCCCATCTCTGTTAAGTCCATTGCAATATCGTCCAAGCTTCTGGCTGAGGGGATTTTTGCCTAGAACAATTTAAACACACACACACACACACACACACACAAAAGTGAGTGATCGTGTACAATCAGCTTAGCCCTAGCGAAGACTCCAAACAAAAGGGAAATAGAAGATGGCCTTTTGCTCCACTCCAAGAGCTACATGCATACTGTCTCACTATTTAACTTATGTCCTGGGCACTGATCACTAAAGCCAACTTGACTATCTATTAGAGGCTCAAAACGAACAGAAGGGAAAACAGGCAGTAAAAAATAAATAAATAAAAATGCCCCCTAGGCACAGGGCCCTCATATTTACGGGACTGCCTCTCCTGGTATGCCCTGCAGAGGACCTGAAGGTCCATGAATAACCATAGTTTAGAGGTTCTGGGCCCAAAGGAAGTCAGACTATCCTCCACCAGGGCCAGGGCCTTTTCAATGATGGCTCTGACATGGTGGAATGCTCTGTCCCATAAGACTAGGGACCTTCAGGATTTAACCTCCTTCTGTCGGGCCTGTAAGACAGAGCTATTCCACCTGGACTTTAATTTGAATTCAGCCTGATCTTTTATTTCCCTTCTCTTCCCTCTCCCTCCCCTTTTTGAAGATTACCCACTCTGGGACCCCACAGCTAATTCTCCCCTGGCCTCCTCGTAGGACTAATTCAGCCAGCTAGCCCTGGTGACTATCAAATGCTTATTAGATGGATTTCCCCCAAATTGATTTTTGAATTTTATTGTTATACATGTTTTTATACTGTGTTTTATGCTGCTTTTACAATTAAGTGTTTTAAATTTGTTGTTAGCTGCCCTGAGCCCAGTTGTCTGAACCGGGAAGGGCGGGGTATAAATAAGAATATAGGAACAGAATAAGAGTTCTTAAGGGAAGGGCCATGGCTCAGTAGTAGAGCATCTGTCCTGAATGCAGAAGGTCCCGGGTTCAATCCCCGACATCTCCACGTGGGACTGGGAGAGAACTCTTCTCTGCAAATCTAGAGAGCCACTGCCAATCAGTGTGGACAATACTGAGCTAGATGGACCGTTGGTTCTGACTCTGTATAAGGCAGTTTCCTATGATCCCAAGAGGCTTGCTGGATCAGACCAAAGATCTAGTCCAGCAACCGGCTCCTTACACAGACCAACCAGGTGCCTATCTCACCATCGGGACATGAGATGGGAGTATTTGCAAATTAGAAGACAGTTGACTTTTTTTTTGTCTGGTGTGTTCACACAGATGACTAATATAGGTACATGTGCAAGCAGGTGGTTAAGAAAATAGTGTTGTGGCCTCATTTGCAAGGCAGATATAATCTCTCTTGAGGTATTTTTTTTGACGCAAAAGACAAACTATGCATTTTCAGCAACTAAACATTCCTTTATCGACGGGTAACTTACTTTGCTTTGTTTCCTGTCCAAGTAAAACTGATGTTGACTGATTGCCATAACCCAGATGGATTTGATCAGAGAAGTGTTCGCATACCAGGTTTGCACTACGAGGCCGCTCTGTCCAAAAGTCCTCCGTGACACCGAAATTCTAAAAACATTTTTGTAAAAAAAGGCTACGTAAAGCGTTTTTTGCTGTTTCTTCAAAAATTAAGAAATAAAAGTTCAGATGAAGTCACACAACAACTCTGTTCTGGTGAGGATGACACCCTCCCCACAAATAATGAAAAATCCTGTTTTCAGTTTGGGTGTTATCTGACCAAGTTCTCAAAAGCTAGTAAACGCATTGCCTGGGCTAAGCCAGGGGTTGCAGCTGCCCATTTGGGAATGGTAGGGTGGAAGGCAGGAAAGCCAAAAGTAAGTGGTAAAGGTAAGGGTAAAGGGACCCCTGACCATTAGGTCCAGTCATGGACGACTCTGGGGTTGCGGTGCTCATCTTGCTTTACTGGCCGAGGGAGCCGGCGTACAGCTTCCGGGTCATGTGGCCAGCATGACTAAGCTGCTTCTGGCGAACCAGAGCAGCACACAGAAATGCCATTTACCTTCCCGCTGGAGCGGTACCCATTTATCTACTTGCACTTTGACATGCTTTCAAACTGCTAGGTTGGCAGGAGCAGGGACCGAGCAATGGGAGCTCACCCCGTTGCGGGGATTCGAACCACCAACCTTCTCATCGGCAAGCCCCAGGCTCTGCGGTTTAACCCACAGCGCCACAGCAAGAGTTAATGGCAGGTAGAGCCGACTAATTCAAGTTTTGACCCCATCCTCCCTATTGATCTCTACAAGGGTAACACTAAGGTGGGGGAAGCCAATAGCCACCACCACCACCTGGAGTTTATGCATGGAGAAGTATTTTATCATGACACACGCACACACACACACACACACACCCATTATGATCTGCAATCTGAAGTAGTATACTCCAGACTCAGGTTTGCCACCTCAGTGAGAAAAAGGTTTCTGTTACACCCAGGCTTTTTTACTTTCCTCTTTGTTAGAGAACTGAGTCACAAATGCAAAACCACTCCCGAGATGTACATGAAGCAGTCTGACCCCTCTCTTCCTCCTCCTCCTTCAGAGCATGCACAGATTATTTTTTAACCAGATCTTTGTCATCAGTCTACATAGGCAGTGTGCCAACAGCATGCCTGTCCAGCCTCTGCAGAAAGGCAGAATTTTTATGAATGACTGCAACTCTCCCTTCTGCCCCACCCATTCCTTGCAGACCAGTGCTTGCTCCAAGAACCCAAGCAAGCCCAGCTGAGAATGATCTGGTCCACCCACCACTTCCACCAGGTCTCCAAAAAGCACACCAGGTCTGCTATGGGATGCCAGCTCCCATCAGCTCCAGCCAGCATGGCCGGTGGTCAAGGATGCTGAGAAGTGTCATCCCAAGACATCTAAAAACATCTGGGAGGGCCACAGGTTCCCTATCCCTGCTCTAGAAAGACCTTACTAAATAAATGCATCCTCCTGTGGACATCTCAGGGAAGGATGTGTATCAATGCAACAGCAACATTACATCCTTCCCCGAGAGTAAGTCACGCAAAACTCAGCGCAACTTACTTTGGATTAGCCATGCATAGGGATGCACTCTTAAGCTTCCGTAACATACTCATCCCCTGCTCCCTGTGGTTTTTATGGTGTAACTGTGTAGACTTGGGATTTGTTAACTTCTGCAGTTCATATGAATTTTTGTGGTATAAACAATGAATGTTTAGTTGTTGTTGTTTTAAAAAAGCAACAACAACAGTCACAATTAAAGCATGTATTTCGTATTGTACTCTTAGGTTAATTTTAGATACAAGCAAGCAAGTGTGGCGTCTTAGAAATATTGTGCACAAGCTATTTAGGCACAACTGCAACCGCATACTAAACATCTCTCGTTTATTTACATAGAAGATTTGCAGCAGACATTTCCAGTGGATTCAGGCCTGTAGCGATTTCCCAGCAGGTTTTTACAGCGTGTGCCAGAATTTGTTTTATTTGTCCTATAAAACTGGTGCACGCAGCAACTTTTCATGAGGTGACCGAAACCCACTTGTGCTAAAAGGGAAAAGAAGGGTTGTGATATGTTCGCTTTGTGCCGCCAAAGAGATAAATACTGTGGATGGCACAAGCAATGCAAGCTTAGCCATATATGCGGCGAAACATTAACTTGTGGTGTTCAGTGCAATGGATTTAGGTCCCAGGGGTTCAGCTGCATGACAAACGAATGTTTTGGATATGGCACACAAACACACTGCTTACCTACGGGGATCGTGAACCTCAACAGCAAATTTCTTCTCACGGAAATAAAGATTCTCCAGCTGTTTCCATTGGAATAACTGGAAGAGTGAGAGAAACAAAACAAGAAAGACAATTATTTAAGAGCCAGCCACATTATTAAGAACTTTAATTTCAAAGAAACCCAAATTACAGCAAAGGATTAACTGTGCAAAACAACAACTCACTATGCATTTGTAAGATTAAAAGGACCACGTCATGATAAACAGTACGTAGCTAATTGCATTTTGCAAGTGTGTTTTAACTTCAGGTAGTGGCGTCTCTTACTTACTTCTGCCATCCTCTGCTCATCCTCCAACCCAGAACCAATTCCGGGATTTATGTCTAACAAACACTGTTGTCTTGGGGAGGGTAACTAAAGGCATTCTTCATTTTGAGCCAAAGCAGACTTAATATAAACAACAAAAAGTAATTTCCCTTTCCCACTCTGACCACCATATATCACTTCCCTATGGGTAAACCAATGTCCAAAGAGGCCTGATATGCTTTGGAGTGGCACATCAGGTCAGTAGGAGTGAGGAGTGAACCCATCAGTTAAAAACCCCTGGTGTCAGAGGTTTGAAACCACAAGATTCCATGTCCTGTACAGGCTCATTTTTTAAAACTTCATTTCATGGACAGCATCCAAGAGATAGAGTGATGTGATTGCTCTCCCACAAGGTGCAGATGAAGTCCTTTTAAGGAAAACATGCTGGACCAAAGAGACAGACTGGGGATGTTGCCGGTGCACCACTATCCAGCAACTGATGGAGTTTGCCTTGAGATGGTTTCATAAAAGGCGTAAGAGGGTAGGAAGAAGAACCTTGCTGGATCAGGCCGGAGAGCCACCAAGTCCAGTGTCCTGTTCTCCCAGTGCCCAATCAAATGCCTATAGGAAGCCCACAAGCTCTACACAGGGAGTGCACAAGCAGTACTTGCAATAATGATAAAAAAAGAACATGCATTAATCAATGAGTGATGCTGCACTGACGCAGAAAACAAGAGGGGCAGAGGGGAGCAGAGGAAGGAGAGAAACCACCAAATGATACAGGACATGCACACAAAAACTGTCTGTCTTCTGCAGGCTCAGAAAGAAAAATTCAGTGCATGTACAGAACAATTCTCTTTCTGTGCGCAACATTTCGCCCCCTCTGTACTTAGTGGAAACAGGGAATCACAGAGATTATCGTCTCGTTTGCCTTGGGGCAGTGAGTGTTGTGCACCTGTCTAGGTTTTTTTTAATAAAAAAAATCCATTATAGATCGATGAGCTAAAGAGGGATTGGCAAGCTCACCCTAACTGAGCCTCAGTTGGAAATGAAAGTGCAATCCATCTGCAGTATGCAATTCTCACAGACAACTTTGTTAGCATGAAAAATAAAAAAAGAGGCATGGGGGTGAGGGGGAAGAAATTAAGGAAGGCATTTAAGTTTCGCTTGGACTGTTTGTAAATAACAGAGCAAAATTATGATCTCTCCAGCCATGGTGTAACTCAAGTAGTGTGGTAAACTTAAACATGTTTGGAGACACCTAATGCCTTACTTGGACCATTCCCAGATGCATAGAAGTGGAGGAGCATGTAGACAAAAGTATGGAGTGCTACAATGTGCAGATTCATCAAGCACACCACAATGACACAGTATGTGGGCCGCATACTCTGTGAAATGGGAGCTATCAATGGGAAACATTAGGCACCCGTGGGCTACGCAGATAACGTTTCTATGGTTTGTGCTCAATAAAGACGTTTATTGCCTTCCTGTGCACACTTGCTTGGGAGTAAGTCCCACTGGGCACAGTGGGACTTGCTTCTGAACAAGCATGCACCGGATTGTGCTGCAAAGCCAGCTGTGGCTACATGCAGGCACAGCTAAATAAGCCAAACTCAGTTAACATTAAGAACACACAGAGAGCCCTGCAGGGTAAGACCAAAAGCCTATCTAGTCCAATGTCTTGTCTCCCACAGTGGCCAATCCGCTCTCTCTGAAAGCCCACAAGTAGGAAATGAGGACAACAGCAGTCTTCCCACTCATCCCCACCCACAGCAACAACAACAACCTGGAATCCAGAGGCTGGCTTGTGTCCAAGCATGAACTGTATCAGGCTGCATAGGTCTCTTAAGCAGCTTCCTTTGAAGAGCCTCTGCTCATGCTTCAGTTTAGTCCAGCAGGCTTGATGCATGGCATATTAATAGTGTAAGAGATAAATCGTAGAATTGTAGAGTTGGAAGGGACCATTGGGATCATCTAGCCTAA